ACAGCTGATAGGCATTTGTGGAAGAAAGAGACTTACTGCGCCAATCCTAAATAAATGTAAAAAGGTAAGGCAATAAATGTAAAAAAAAATATTTTAGCTAAGCAGAGTTCTCATTACACAATAGTGAATATTCACCATAGCCACCACTAAATACCGTGAACGCCTATATATAACCGAGGTGTTGAATGATGGACAGACGTAACAAGACGAACGGACCGACACGTTGATTGCTGTTACATATGTGCGGTTGTTTATTTATATACAACTGATTTGCAAATAGAAAATGTCCACTTACATAATTTGTAAATAAGATCTAACAAACGACTGAATGGAAATTGAATTGTAGGTTTTTTTGACATCTAAAAAATTACATCAAATGAAGAACTTAAAGGATCCACACCTTCAATATATTAATAACTAACAAAAGCCCAACAAGTAACTTTTCTCAAGAGAATAGGAATAAAAAATACCCTGTGTTAATCTAGAATATGATACAGTTTGTTATCTATGTAGGAAATTTTATTAAAATCCGTACAATCGTTCAATTTAAAATGTATAAACCAATTCCTTCTTATTATGGAGCAAAATCTATATTGTAATGTAGTCTATTTCAAAAGTTTACAGAATTTCTTTTAATAATCTACAAAATGGTGCTTGGAGATTGTACAAAAGTCGATTTCTTGAGTACCTCTGTCCCATTCGTGTTTCAACCGTAAAGCAGTTGTGTTTGCATAGCTGTGTTTCGATGTGAAGGATGAGATATGGCGTGAATTTACAGGGTATCGAGGAATAACACCTGAGTCCTCAGGAATTGCAACGCATGGGGGGTATCATGGGCGAAACAGTATACTCTGTTATGTCCATGGTACTGCTCATGTCTATAGGCAACGGTTACCACTTTCCATCAGGTGGGTCGTCAGCTTGTTTGCCATTCTAAGTTGTATAAAAAAAAATTAAACATAATAAGGAACTTCTGGTAGTCACTACTTTCGTGATCAATCTTCGAGTGTTGGTAATCGCACACATACTGATGGTAGCGGAATTAAACAAAATAACTCTAATCAAATAACCAAGATGGATTTCCGCAACATAACACCTAGTTCAGTTAACTAGTTATTATTAAATTTGTCATGGTTGTCCCGGCTTAGAATGGGCTACCCTTTCCTTCTTCATGGGTGTCGTCAAAGGCGAATAAGGGAACTTAATGGTCGAAGGATAGACAGCAGCGTCCCTCTAAAATCATTACTGAAGCCTATCTGCGATTGCCAATCCGCCTACTAACCCCCCAAGGGGAGGCCTATGTTCAAGATTGGACAGTTAACGCCTAATATGATAGTCATGACGATTAATTTCGTCACGATTGGAATTACAATGTTTTTTTTTTAATATCTAATTGTTGTCGTCTGATTTATGTATTCATAAATCACTACTTTATGACGTTACAACTATAAATATTAAACACAGGTAGATTATACACTAAGTTTATTCAACACCAGAAGACCCCAGTTCTGAACTCTAAACCAATAGAAACACATAAATTCAAACTTGTGGTGCAGTTGTAACGTGCAAGTTGGGGGCTACTGGCTAAGGCTTTGATTACACTCGCGGCAGTTTAACAATGGCGCCCGTGGCGGCATTAATGTAGTACCTACTATATCACAGTTGGGCCACCCTATTAAAATTTAGGACAATATTACACTGTCAAATATGTGACAATGCCGAGTGTGCTCCGGCATGAATGTGTCACCCCTTCCTTTCTCGTGGGTGTCGTTAGAGGCGACTAAGGGAGGGCGAGGGAGGGGCAACACCGTCCCTTTTAAAACATCTCTAAAAGCCTAACTACGATTGCCAATCTGCCTGCCAAACATGACAACTACTGGCAAAACTCCCCTTATGGGGAAGGCTTATGTCCAGCAGTGCACAGTTAATGGCTGATATAATAATAAATATTAATTTTTACATTTCAAATGTTAGTTAATTTTAAACTTTTGCGTTGTTTACACATATTTTAAATACACTATCGGAACTTAACGCTCCTTTGTTGCCGATTATGTTCTTTTTTTCATATTTTTTTTTTATACAACTTAGAATGGCAAACAAGGTGACGGTCCACCTGATAGAAAGTGGTAACCGTCGCCTATAAACATGAGCAGTGCCATGGACATAACAGAGTATACTGTTTCGCCCATAATACCCCCCATGCGTTGCCATTCCTGAGGACTCAGGTGTTATTTCTCTGTACCCAGTAAATTCACGCCATATCCCACCCTTCAAACCGAAACACAGCAATGCAAACACACACAATGAAATTATTGAAACACGAATGGGACAAAGGTACCCAAGCAAACGACTTTTATACAAAGTCTCCCTCTGGTAAAGTACATGAAAGTGCCATAGATTTAAGCATAAAACTGTTAATATTTTTGGAGAATAAACATTATAATTACAATTATACATAAATAAACAGATCGTATTAAATTCCTTTTGCATAATTAATATGACATTAACAATATTTTAGTTTTTCAATATAAATCGAATTTATTGCATGACAAATCTATAATAAATCAAATAATTTTATTTACATACATCTGTAACTTTTTACCGACATAAATTTTCAATATTTTTCACCGCTTAATTACATTTCTGTTTTCCAAAAGTTGACTGGGAAGGAATGCTACATGGTATTAAGTAAAAATTTTTTGTAATGTGGTCAATAGAATATTTAAACTTTTTTTTATACTTAACTTAAATTGGCAAACAAATTGACGGCCCACCTGTTGAAAATTAATAGCCGTCACCTATAGACATGAGTAGTACCATGGACATAACAGAATATACTGTTATTTATCTCTTTATGTAACATGAAATGACTTCTATATTTTATATATCTCAACTAATTTCGTATCTATTTTCAGACATATACTTTCTCGCCATTATTCCATACCTGGCTATTTACCGCCTGCATATAGTTACTATAATTAACACAATTAATATATTTCAATATATTTGAATCGAATCAAAAATCGTTACATTTTCAATCGGTCACTAGCCACACGCAGATAGCTTATGTTTACACAAATTATAAGCCACCGCACGAGTTATGTTTACGAATAATTCGAATAGCGTCGATTGTTTGCAATCGAATGCACAGAGTCACCGTGTAAATATCGATGTCACGATACATCGCATCGACTACGACGTATTTTGACATCGCACGTCAAATATTTTGATAGCGGACAAATAAATTGTCTATTCATTACTTACTAGAACTTCCTTTTTTGACATTTTTTTTTATTAACTGCTTCATTATGAAAAAGTTTGTACGAGATCCATAATTTAAGTTTTCATTTTACAAAAAACATCGATTTGAATCGTTTCCAAATTAGTTATTGTGATTTGTAAACTAAACTACTTGTATTGAACTAATTTTGATAAAATTTCTTTGAGATCAGCCTCAATATATGTATATATTTTCACTTACTTACCAAAGAAAAACTTTGTACAAAAGTCGTTTACTTGGACACCTCTGTCCCACTTGTGTTTCTACCGTGAAGCTGTTGTGTTTGCATGGCTATGTTTCGGTTTAAAGGGTGGGATATAGCGTGAATTTACTGGGTACAAAGAAATAACACCTGTGTCCACAGGAATGGCGACGCATGGGAGGTATCATGGGCGAAACGGTATACTCTGTTATGTCCATGGTACTGCTCATGTCTATAGGCAACGGTTACCACTTTACATCAGGTGGGTAGTCAGCTTGTTTGCCATTCTAAGTCGTATAAAAAAAATATCACATTAAGTGGCAAATAAAATTAGCCGTTCAAGTATTTTTACATTCATTACTAGCAACCTACGTAAGCCATGAAAATCAATTTCCAAATACATCACATTTTAATTATTATGATAATTACGTCGACTGCTATTACCAGATAGCATTACAAGTACAGTAATATTTGGAATATAATTGGAGTGAGCAGCCAACATCTGGAATATAAAATAAAACATCTGGAATTCTAGTATAATTTCCTTATTCAAACTTATACATTTCGTATACAGATAATTTGAAATACCAGTAGTGGCAACACTTTGTTCGCTTTTAAGACTGAAATTCTTCTTGATTGATGAAGAATTATTAGATTAGGACCAATCTTATTTATATATATGTGTATGTATATATATATATATTGAAATAGGTTACAATACAATAAACTACATTACAAAATGATTACCCACGGGATAGAAAGGGCTGATGCATGTGTATGTATAATACAAGCTACTCACATAGGTTTAAATTACTTATATCAGTAGGCTAGTAAAATAAGAAAAAGAAACATTGATGTCCAACTACTTTATCAGACTTTTACATAAATTTTACATATATCCGAATCGAAACGTAACCGGATCATCCGTCTCGGTGACAACGTAATCAACGCGTAACGCAATAAAAGTCCATGCTCGTTAATTGGGAATGTTTTTTATTTGTCGTGCGTTGGACGCATTTTATATCCGGGTGGTAACGCAGTAGGAAATGATGTGTCATCACAGATCTTCTTCATGTGAATATCGTGAGAGCAGACTAGGATAACAAAGCACAATACTACGTATACAATGGATTTCTTTCAATCGATTTCGATGATTTATTGTAAGGAGTATAATGTATTTAGGTTTCTTTATTGTATTATAACTTCTAAATGCCTATATGCCTAGATTCGGATATATAAAATGTCCTTAGAATCCTTGCATAATCAAATGATACTAGTTATAATTTTTAAATAATTTCATTTGGCAGGACAATTCGAGTTTGTTTTTTTTTTTTTATTTGTGAAACAAAGTGTACTCATATAAAAATCAACTATTAAAATGTTTATATAGAAACCAATTTAGTTAGAAATATGTTTCTTTTTGTTAAGCAAATTTTACATATTTTCAGAAATTATTACGCATTAGTTTTGTAAAGAAACAAATATTTATTGTAAATAAAATTCATTATTCTTTTACAGATGCACCATCCAATACAGATGAAACCAGCTGACAGTGAAAATAGAAATGGTAAGTCAATGAAAACATTTAAGTATAATTTTATGAATTAGCGTATATCCTGATCTAATAGTTACAAGAAGAAAATAAATAAAAATGATGATACATAATATAAAGTTATAATCAAGCCTTTACAATTTTTCTACATATATATACTTGTTTACTTTTATAATCTTATTAGTAATATCTCCCATGTACTTACAGCCTAGTCTTATTATAATTTTGTTATATTAATATAATAAATTTTTAATTAGACTAGGCTTGTACATGGGAGATATTTAAGAAAAAATGTTATAAAGAGGCTCTTAAGCCTCTGTTTTATATTTATTGTTCTTAAACAACAGAAGCCAAAACAATCGTTTTAAGAAATTTTATCTGTCTGTATGATTGTTCCGACATTACGCGTCACGCAAAAACTACTGCACGAAATTGGATGCTGTTTTCACAGTTGTATTCCTAGAAATCAAACTTTATTACTTGTGTATATTTATCTTGACACGCCTTTAATTAATGATTAATTTATTAATTTAAAAGTAATCTATTATTATTTCATTGATATTCCTACTTCTGAAATTTATGCGTTAGAATTAGCGAAAATCTGGCAAAATCTGGCAATTTATAAAAAAAATAATTCCATTATTAACACTTATAGTACATTACTACAGCGGCCAGCAACTGAGGCATTGATGGACGAACGTCCAATTGTGGGCCGAGGCGTAGCCGAGGCACGCATACGTGAGTCCATCAATGCGTAGTTGTGGCCAAGACTTGTATAGTACTTTTGTCAAACAATGCGCGGAAATCAATAACACAATTTTACTTTTTAAGTTCAATGACGAATAACGAACAATAATAATTTGTCACACGCCATAATGTTCCTGTTTTCTTTTTCAATAAACAGCTTTCTATTTGCAAGCCAGTTCGAAATTTAAATAAAACCTTTTATTAGTTACCTCCTTGGTAGCCATGTTTCAAAGTAAAAGGTCATTCCATTTTTAAATTACAGAACAGATATGAGTTTACATAGTAATTTATCTGGCCGCAAAACACGACAGATATAGATTTTCATACAACTTTTGCCGGCCGCTGCCCGCATGTATCTGGCCAGTACGGCAATTTTGATTTATCTCGAAGAAGATTGTCAAAATAATGCTCACATTTCCAAGCATGTTTGAGAAAAAAAAATATGATCACCTTCGATGTACTCTCATTTTAAGTACGAACGTATGAAATACTGATGAGATAAGCATTGTTCTATAAAATCATACCTTTCAAATCCAAACAAAAAGCTATAGAAAACAAAATAAAAAACCGTTTATGAAGTGTTCTGTTTTATGCAAATACAATTTCATTTAAAGGTAAGCGCCAAAGTGACCGCAAATATAAACACATGTTGAGAATTGAAATAAATGATTCTGATCTTTAAATCTTTTATAATTTAAAAGTTAGATTTGCATGAAAGAATGTATTAGTCGGTCCACGATCGCACACCACGAATATGGGTCTAATCTGTTTACTTTTCCGATATGCAGCTATATCGATAAGCTATGTGACTCAAGGTCCGCAAACAAAGCGGCGTAGCCTGTATTTTGTCCAATAATTTACTTTTTATTGACTACTAAAAGCTAGCTTGGCACGAATACCGAAAAATGAATTTAAATTTATAGGTAAAAAATTTCGCAAAAGAATACTTGAAATGTTTTAGAAATATTTATTTTAAGTCTATAACGTTAACTATGCGGTTTGAACTATGAAGAACTATGTTCTTTTGTTTTACTTCAATATAATATACTTCCTTGAAGAAAGTTTGTCACTTATATGAATATTATGACCAGATATTGAAGTATATAGAAATAGAAGAGTATATCAATACTCTTCTTACGCTTTTTGTAATAATTACTATTTGCATTTTTGTTCGTTTGACGGAATGTCCGGAAAATAACTTAAAAATACATACATAAATATTGGTAGTAAAGTTATATTGCAACAAAATGGAAAATTTTAATAGTGAAACACGATAATATCTAAATTAAAAAATAAACTTTGTTCTTCTACGCTGATGTCAGTTTTTCTCGTCTGAAAATTCTTGGTTTACTGTTAACGGTAGGGTTAAAAATAATTGATATTGAGATTGGCACGCATAATTGACCAAAATATGCCTTAGTATATATAAATAAATTATTTTAATTACTTGATGTCTCATTTTAAAGTTTTTGCCTCTTACAAACGGTCATATCTGGTGATCTACCATGAAATGAAATTCCGAAATTTCGGGCTCAATTTCGTATTTTTGTTCGTATCAAAATCGACCCAGTAAATGGAGCTTAACATTTCGTTCATGATAAATCCTCTTCTAATAGTCCAAAGGAACGATATTTTAATATTTTTAATAATTTTAAACAGCATGTATTATGTAATTTTAACATCAAATTTCTGTTTCGTTCGTCCCCGAAATTTCGGAAAATACTTCATGGTAGGCTCTCTGGGATGCATACATATACATAATTCTACTATTATGTATTCCACAGTAGGGATTTCTGATAATAAATAAATTATTAATTTAAATTATATTTTGTAATTTTGATGTCTACTGTGGTACACCACACAGTTGTGTCATAATATTATGACAATAATAATACGACATAATTGTTACAAATGAATTGAAAACATCAATATGTGTGGTCATAGATAACAACGTGTTGATAGTTACAATACCGTTACAATATCCAGTGTGCAATACCAAAGTAATCGAATCATTTTTATGTCATAAATTATATGCAATAAATTATAAAATGCAATGCTTTATCGATTCACCTACTATGCAATACCTTATAGGATATTGCAAACTGAAATTTTACAAAGAAAATATTACTTTAATATTGACAAAATTAGTTTGCAATACACTGGTACATGAAAATAAGCTCTTTGGATAAAAAATAGAATTGTCGAAATCGGTTCAAAGTTTACAAAGATATAGCGTAACATACAAAGAAATATAGTCTAATCAAGACTCTCCTCCATTCTGAAATCAGTTAAAAACTAATACAATTATAACATTTTTTTTATACCACTAAGGTGGCAAACAAGCATACAACCCGTCTGATGGTAAACGGTCACTGAAGCCTATGGACGCCTGCAACACCTGAAAAACTCTAATATATATATATATATATTTTATAGAACCACCTACTGTAATCTAATATATATCATATTCGGATATGTGCATGAATTTAGACTGTAAGTGCCCAGTGTAGTTACGTCACTCTTTCATACGTATCGTTTAGTAGTGTTAGCTAGTACTAATTAGGATAAAATTGTCCTATTTATTATGTTAGTTCAAGATAGCGTCTATCTGTAACTAAATAACAAACATCAAAACATTTAAACATCTTTGTAAGCATTCAGATTTATTATAAAACTAGCTGACCCCGCGAACTTTGTACCGCCTAATAGTCGATTCTTTGTTTAGTTTTTTTTTTTTTTTATACTTATTCTGCTATTCGGAACGCTGGGTCAGCTAGTAAGATAAAAAAAAAAGAAAAAAGATAGTGAATAAATCAACAATTACATTATACCAAAAAATAAAACTTATAAAACATGCCGTGCCCACGTCACTCAATTGTTTAGCCTTCCCGGAACCTCTCCACTAACACTTTAGACTTTTTCTACAATTTTTTTAAATTTTTCTCTCCGTAAGCCATCCTCGTACTTCAAGGAATATTCTAAAGAAAGTATTAGCGAAGTCGGTTCAGCTGTTTGCGAGATTTGCGCTTAGTAACACATTAAGCGATTCATTTTTATATTACAGATTAGGATTAGTACGTATGAATAATGAAGAAAAACTGAGTAAATGTGTTATTGAACTAGGTGTTATTTTGCGGAAATTTATATCTTGTACTAATACTTGTACAACAATTAGTCCATTACCTTAAGGTTGTCTTGAAAAGATGGCTCTCAGCAATAAGACCGCCTTACTGTACTTATACAATTGTATCGTTGTGTTTGTATATCGCCTTGCTTATTTCCTATATTGTATAATGCAAATAAAGTATACTCATTCATTCATTCATCTTTCTTTTTTTATTGATAACAATGAAATGGTAACCCTGCCTATGCTACCGATATACGCTGGCGGTGCACCAGTTACGGATGATATTGGAAATCCATATCACTGATTAGAATTATTTCGGCATTCAAACTGCTAAACAATAACGGTTAACACTAGATTCCGAGCAGCGATCTATTAATTTGCCTGGAGATACCTTATTTAGAGGTGAAACACGTGTTGCAAAACGTGCGTAGACAAATTGGCAATCGGAGATTGATGGCTAATATAGAAGGTTAAAGACATTTTCGTAATAATAGTAGTAGTCCATCTTTATTATTATTTTTTTTTTTGTTTAGCAAATTAATGTTTTTTTTTTAAATACACCCAAACATTTTTTTCTTCATAAAGCTTTTACATGTGACTTTCTCCGCGTGATCAAGGTATGTTGATTTACTGAAATAAATAGTGACCCATGTCTTAATCTATCCTAAATATTACCAGCGGGACACTTTGTACAAAAGTCGTTTGCTTGGGTACCTACGTCCCATTCGCGTTTCTACTGTGAAGCAGTTGTGTTTGCATGGTTGTGTTTCGGTTTGAAGGGTGGGATATAGCAATCAATTTACACAGTACAGAGGAATAACATCTGAGTCCTCAGGAATATCAATGCATGGGGGTATCATGGGCGAAACAATATACGCTGTTATGTCCATGGTACTGCTCATGTAATCAGCTTGTTTATCATTCTAAGTTGCATAAAAAAAATTTAATTATGAAAAATATTTTGTTGCACTTCTGTATGTTCGACGCTAATATTTTTCTTTCATGAAACAATATGATGTAAGCAAATTAGTGAATAATAGGCACATATTAAATTAACCGGCTGTTTACTTAATAGGCGATAATTAATGCTTATAATAACACATTAACAAAACAAAACAACCGAAATACACTTTTGTTATGT